CATAAATATAATATATGATAAATATTCTAATAAGAATTCAATTCTTTACAAAAAATTCTCTTATTAATAATAAAAATTATTAATTAAGTTATAGTGACACTTTGTAGTACCTAACCCTAAAACCCCATATAGATGTCTTCCAGCTTGCTCCATACGAAGAAAAAAAGTTTTATTTTATAACTTAACAATATAAAAATTTTTAGCATCACAATTTAAATAGATTCTTAAATCTCAAAGCTTCAAAATAAAAAAAGAGTCTAAAAATATTAATCTAAATTAAAATTACGACCTATCAAAGTTACAATGGGTCTTTCAGACCCATGGTGTGTTTTCAGAATATTTCGGAATGTGTGTTGTAGGGATTAAGTATTATATTTAAATCGTATTACTGCTATAATTAGAGAAAACGAAAATCTCAAAATTCTTACGCTTGTAAAACCCTCCAGAGATAAATCTACGAATTTTCCGGCTGTCATTGTCAATTCCTTCTGCGATCTCATTATCAATAACAACAAGATTTTGCTTTCCTTAGGCTTTAACTTGTACCAAAATGAATTGTATGCCGCTTGATTTATAGACTTGCTCTAAATAAGAAATAAAATATTAAAAAATTTATAAAGTATATTCGCCCTTATGGAAATGAACTATTGGAAAACCAATAATCACTATTGGATTTTAATAATGATTATTCGCTCTTTAATAGTGAGTATTTATTATCCAATAATCGGATTATTCACACACAATGATCTCCAATAGTTTTTAACGGAATGATTATCGATTCTATTAGTCGGATTATTTGCAATAATCATTTCCCAATAGCTTTCAACAGAGTGATTATTGATTCCATTAGTCGGATTATTATGTACAATAATCATTTTCCAATAGCTTTTGACGGAGTGATTATTGATTCCCCTAATTATTGATTTTCCTAATCAGATCATTTAAAAAAATTATTCCCCAATAGTTTTTGACTGAATAATTATTAATTTTCTAATCAGATTATCCGTAATGATCATTACAACGCACTATCTTAATAATTACGTATATGAATTATTGTATTATTGGCTTTCAATAGAGCTATCCATAATAATAACTATTTAAATAAACTGTGTCTAATTATAATTCATTAAGCTCATCAAAAACTATAGTGCCGTATCAGTAATCAAAGTATTTGCAATAATCATTCTTGTAATCCAATTATTTATTGGAGAAATTAAACTAAAATTTTTTAGATTCGTTTATGAAACTAAATACTCATGCATATTTTAAGTATATGTGAGCTTTCTGACAATATCTATTGAGCAGATATGTCACAGTTACATCTGTACATTTAGGATTCTTGGGTCATCGAAGAAACAGTTCCCATATGATTGCAGAAGTCAAACAACACTAGATGAAGTATAGCTTTGGATGGGTGACAGCTGGTGCATCGTGAAATTAGATCCCGATTTCAGGAGGAAACTTTTTTTTTCATAATTTTGTCGTATATATTCTTTAATATGATACTAATATTTATTTTATATATATATA